TGGGAAGTACAGTGCCTGCATGCTGATGGAGGGGTGATGGTGGGAAGTACAGTGCCTGCATGCTGATGGAGGGGTGATGGTGGGAAGTACAGTGTCTGCATGCTGATGGAGGGGTGATGGTTAAATACAGTGTCGCATGCTGATGGAGTGGGGGAGTGGGAAGTACAGTGCCCGCATGCTGATGGGGGGTGATGGTGGGAGTACAGTGTCTGCATGCGATGGAGTGGTGATTTTGGAAGTTTCAGTGCCTGCATGCTGAAGGAGGGGTGATTGTGGAATACAGTGCCTGCATGCCCGATGAGGGTTGTGGGAAGTGCAGTGTCCCGCATGCTGATGGAGGTGGTGATGGGGGGAATGCAGTGTCTGCATGCTGATGGAGGGTGATGGTGGGAAGTACAGTGCCCGCATGCTGAAAGGAGGGTGATGGTGGGAAGAAGTGCCTGCAAAGCTGATGGAGGGTGATGGTGGGAAGTGCAGTGTCTGCATCTGATGGAGTGGTGATGGTGGGAAGTGCAGTGCTGCATGCTGAGGAGAGGTTTAAGGGTGGGAAGTACAATGCCTGCATTTCGATGGAGGGTGAAAGGTGGGAAGTACAGTGTCCTGCAAAGCTGATGGGGGGTTAGTGGGAAGTCAGTGCCCCGCATGCAATTTATGGTGGGAAGTACGTGCCCCGCATGCTGGGGTGGTGGTGGGAAGTACAGTGCCCCATGCTGATGGAGGGGTGATGGTGGAAGTCAGTGCTGCATGCTGGTGAGGGTAATTGTGGAAAATACAGTGTCCTCAAGCGATGGATGGGTGATGGTGGGGAAATACAGTGCCCGCATGCTGATGGAGGGTGATAGTGGGAATACAGTGTCCTGCAGCTGATGGAGGGTGAAAGGTGGGAAGCAGTGCCTGCATGCTTTGGGGGGTATGGTGGAAGTACAGTGCCTGCAAAGCTGATGGAAGGGTGAAAAGGGGGGAAGTACATGCTGCATGTGATGGGGTGAATACAGTGCCTGCATGCTGAGGAGGGGTGATGGGGGGGAATAAGTGCCGCACTGATGGGGTGTGGTGGAAACAGTGCCTGCAGCTGATGGGGGGTGATGTCGGGGAAGTAAATGTCCCCACCTGATGGAATGGGGAAGACAGTGCCTGCATGCTATGGGGGGGTGATGGGGAAGACGTGCCCGCAGCTGATGGAGGGGGTGGTGGGAAGTACAGGGCCTGCACCGATGGAGGGTGATGGGGGGGGGAAATCATGCCGCATCGAGGTGGGAAAAACAGTGCCTGCATGCGATGAGGGGGATGTGGAAGACAGCCCCGCATGCTGAATAGAAAAGGGGGGATGTTGGAAGTACGTGCCTGCATGTGAGGGGGGAAATACAGTCCGCATCTAAGGGGGTGATGGGGGAAGTACAGGCCGCACGATGGAGGGGGATGGGGGGAAAACAGTGCCTGCTGCTGATGGAGGGGTGATGGGGAAACAGGGGCCTTTCTGCGGGTGGTGGGAAGTACATGCCTGCATCTGAAGGGGGGTGAATTTGGGAAAACAGTGCCTGCATGCTGATGGGGGGGTGATGGTGGAAGTACAGTGATGCATGCAATGGAGGGGTGAGGTGGGAAAATCAGTGCCCGCGGGTTAGGAGGGGATGGGGGAAGACAGTGCTGCATCGATGAGGGTTGGTGGGGGGTGCAGTGCCTGCATGCGAGGTGGGGAAATACATCCTGCATCTGATGGGGGGGTGTGTTTAAGTACAGTGCCTCAAAGCTGATGGAGGGGTGATGGGGGGAAGTCAGGCGATGCTGAGGGGGGGTGAGTTGGAAGACAGTGCTGCAAGCTGATGGAGGGGTGGTGGTGGGAATCAGTGCTCAGCTGATAAGGGGGATGTGGAAGTACAGGTCTGCATGCGATGGAGGGTGAGGGGAAGACAGTGCCCGCAACAAAGGGGGGGGATGGGGGAAGACAGTTTCTGCATGCTGATGGAGGGGGATGGGGGGAATCAGTGCTCAAGCTGATGGGGGGGGGATGGTGGAAGTACAGGTCTGCTGCGAGGAGGGTAGGGGGAAGTACAGTGCCCGCATGCTAGGAGGGTGATGGTGGGAAGTACATGTTCTGCATGCTGAGGAGGGGGATGGTGGGAATACAGGTCTCATGCGATGGGGGGGGATGGGGGAAAACAGGCGCAGCGAGGAGGGGAAAGGGGAAAAACAGGTCGCATGCTGATGGAGGGGGGAAGTGGAATGTCCTTCATGCTGAAAGGAGGGGGGGTGGTGGGAAGTCATGCCGCCCTTTGGGGGAGGGGTGATGGGGAAGTACAGTGCCTCATGCTGTTGAGGGTGATGGTGGAAAAACAGTGTCTGCAGCTGGGGGGAGTGGAATAAAAATTTTTCCGCTGGTGGAGGGGTGATGGTGGGAAGACAGTGAACCCCCGCTGGTGGGGGGTGAGTTGGAAAATACAGGCCCCGAGCATGGGGGGTGGGTGGAATCAGCCAAAGCTGGTTGGGGGGGGGTTTTGGTGGAATTAAAGTGGGCGCTGCGAGGGGGGGGTGGTGGGAAGACAGTGCCACAGCGTGGGGGGTGGTGGGGGAAGTAAAATGGCTATGCTGATGAGGGGTTTGGGGGGAAGTACAGTGCCTCCCGCTGTGGGGGGTAGGGGGGAAATACAGGCCTCCCCCCGGTGAGGGGTGGTGGTGGAAGAAGGTCCTGCTGATGGGGGGTGGGGTGGGGAAATACAGTGCCCAGCTGGGGAGGGGAAGGTGGGGAATACATGTCTCACGCTGGGAGGGGTGATGTGGGAAGTACAGGCCCCATCTATGGGGGGGATGGTGGGAGTACAGGCCCGCACGTGGAAGGGGGATGGGGGAATTCATGCCCGCAAGTGATGGGGGTATGGTGGGAAATACAGTGCTCCGCGGTGGGGGGGAGGTGGGAATACGTGCGCAGCGGGGGGGGGTGGGGTGGGAATACAGTGTCTGCACCTGGGAGGGGGGATGGGGAATCGTGGGCCGCTGTGGGGGGGTATGGTGGAAGTACAGTCTCACCGGTGGGGGGGATGGGGGGAAGTACTGTCATCTTGGAGGGGGATGGTGGGGGTACAGTGCCCACGCTGGGGGGGGGTGATTTTGGGGGCGTGCCCGCAGCTAGGGGGGGTGATGGGGGGGAATACAGGCCCGCATCGAGGAGGGGGGAGGGGGGAAGTACAGGTCTGCTGCGAGGAGGGTGAGGGGGAAGTGCAGTGCTGCATCTGATGGGGGGGGATGGTGGGGAAACATGTTCATCTGTGGAGGTGATGGGGGGAAGTACTTTGCAGCATGGGGGGTATGGTGGGAAGTCAGTGTCTGCATGCGAAGAGTGGTGATGGTGGGAAGTAAGGTCTGCACGGTGGAGTGGTGATGTGGGAAGTCAGTGTCTGCGCTGATAGGGTGAGGTGGGAAGTGCAGTGCTGCAAGCTGGTGGAGTGGGGGATGGTTTGGGAAAACAGTGTCTGCTGCGGGAGGGTGATGGGGGAAGAAAATCTGCTGCTGATGGAGTGTGATGGTGGGGGAAGACAGTGCTCATGCGGGTGAGGGGGAAGTGGGCCCCTTTTTATGGTGGGGGGAATTTATTTTTTTGGGGGGTGTGAGGGGTGGGGGGGGAAGTCGGGCCTCAAAGGAGGGTGGTGGGGGGATGTTCCTTTTGGGGGGGGGGTGTGGGGGGAATACGGCTCCCTGCGATGGGGGGGTTGTGGGGAAATCTGTTTCAAGGGGGGTGGGAGGGGAAGTCAGTGCCTGCACGTGGGGTGGGGGGTAGCTGTGTGTGGGGTGGTATTTGGGGGCGGTTTGGGTTTTGGGGATGGGAATTTAGAAGTGAGGGGGAGGGGGGGGGGAAGGGTTTTGGAAGGAAGGTTGAGGGGGAAGTCAGTCTGCATGCTGAGGGGGGGGGTGGGAATTTTACTGATGGTGGGGGTGGGGGGAATGGTTTGAGGAGGGGAGGTGGGGGGGGTTCCCCGCATGGGGGGGGGGGGAAGTTCAGTTCCTGCACGCTGATGGAGGAATGATGGTGGGAAGTACAGTGCCTCCACGCTGATGGAGGAATGATGGTGGGAAGTACAGTGCCTCCACGCTGATGGAGGAATGATGGTGGGAAGTACAGTGCCTCCACGCTGATGGAGGAATGATGGTGGGAAGTACAGTGCCTCCACGCTGATGGAGGGGTGCGGAATGATGCAGTTCGTAGGGTCATTTGAACTGTGCTATCTTTGCACTTGTGGCTCCTTGATGCCAGTGAGGAGCTCTTAATTCGAGGAATTGAACATCCTTTCCTTATATCAAACCCAATTATCTCCTATTACCTAAGAGCTGAATGACCCTACGGTTTTAACGCTCTCCATGGATGTAACAAGCCCTCCACCTCCTCTTTGCTTCAGACAGATCAAAGTTGAGACACTGAACACCGTCCATCGAGGTTAAAACACTGAACACCTATAAAGGCTAAGGCACTGATCACCTTAGAAATTTCCTTTGCACTTCTTTTACTGTCACCGATATATAAAACGCCTCTGTATTCTACTGAGAAAAATGCCGCCTGCTATTCAGGTGAAACCTTCCAGCAATAAAGATGGCCAAGTGTTGCACTTGTGTTTTATTCATTATAGGTGGCGATGTTACGGTTCGTGATCTCTGCATTTCTGAAAAGGCAGCTAGAGAATGAGTGATGGTGAACGGTTTTCCTTAAAGAACAAAAGGGCACAATACCGTGACTGGAACAATACACAAATAACCCACACATAGGAAACTGAAACTTAGAACGACGTGTCGGTCTCCTACGTGTTGGCTATTTGTGTCCTGCCTTACATTCTTCAGCTCCCCGCTGCCTTGGTGGTAAGCGGCTGATATGGTTAAAAACAAAGGCGATGGGATCTACAATTTAATTCTATCCTTAAACAGCACTGGTACTGTCGCAGCATCATTCAGTTAGCATTGTTATCAGCATTAATTTTTGTTGCCTGCTGCATCTTAACTTATCCTCATTTCCTCAGGCTGAAGAGGGCAACTGCTGGATCTTCAATGACATGTCCAAGAACGAATACATCTGGGAAGGTTTTGTATCTCAGACCAAGATCAAGAGACTGACGCTGCACCTGCGACCGGACGGCACCCTCAAGACTATCCCCACTGTAGCCATCCAGCACCTACCGGGGATTGAAATGTTCGAGGTATGCTCGAGAATCCTGTATCCGCAAGAGGTTTCCGAGTCTCCCATTGACACGGTGGTCCTCGTTTCCCTATCTGCATAGGGTCCTAGGTTCCCTATGACCCTATGAAGAGTATTATGTGTTTTACACTCACAGTATGGGAATTTCCCTAACCAAAGAGGGTCTTAGATTATATACAAAGGGCCATGGGTCTTGTCTCCAGAGAAGAGCCGCTTGGGTCCTCTCTTCACGGAGCGGAAGGGCCCCCCCTAGACACTTTCTTCATAGAGGGGACGTACTCCCTAGACCCTTTCTTCATAGAGGAGAAGGGCTCCCAAGATCCTCTTTTCATAGAGGAGAAGGGCTCCCTAGACCCTTTCTTCATAGAGGAGAAGGGCTCCCTAGACCCTTTCTTCATAGAGGAGAAGGGCTCCCTTAGATCCTCTCTTCCCAGTAAGTTCCCCCTCTCTTCTTCTGTCTCCATAGATACCCACCTTCCTGTTCGACTCCCCGTTTACTTTAGCCATTTTGTTCTCCGACAGATCCCAAAGTCTTAGTGATGCATTTGGGAATTGGCTCATGTTGGCAGGAAAATTACGATCTTGGAGCGGACACGTCAGCCGCTATTTTCCATGGACCTTCTTTGTGCTTGATAAGGGTAATTTAAGGATTAAGAATAATGAGAATTTAAACACGGATTTTCATAAGTTGTTGAAGTAATCGCTGCCAGTGATTTTACGAAGCGCTACGAAACATGTGTGTGTGTGTGTGTGTGTGTGTGTGTGTGTGTGTGTGTGTGTGTGTGTGTGTGTGTGTGAAAAATTTATACAAAAAAATCTTCCCAGCAGCTACCCATTAGAAATTTAATCCAATAATTTCAAGAAAGATTAAGATGTATTTATTTATTCGCTATAAACAACGCGCTTAAACGACCGTGTTTAAAAGAATGAGGAAAGGCGTCTCTGAAAATTTACAGACGAGTGCAAAATATAATTATAATTGCTATCAGAGTCCGTCGGTAATACTGCACTATTGATGCAGGTGTTGGTACGCTAGTGACTGGCAGGTAACCTGCAGGTGTTGGTACGCTAGTGACTGGTAGGTAACCTGCAGGTGTTTGGTACGCTAGTGACTGGTAGGTAACCTGCAGGTGTTGGTACGCTAGTGATTGGCAGGTAACCTGCAGGTGTTGGTACGCTAGTGATTGGTAGGTAACCTGCAGGTGTTGGTACGCTAGTGACTGGTAGGTAACCTGCAGGTGTTGGTACGCTAGTGACTGGTAGGTAACCTGCAGGTGTTGGTACGCTAGTGACTGGTAGGTAACCTGCAGGTGTTGGTACGCTAGTGATTGGCAGGTAACCTGCAGGTGTTGGTACGCTAGTGATTGGTAGGTAACCTGCAGGTGTTGGTACGCTAGTGACTGGTAGGTACCTGCAGGTGTTGGTACGCTAGTGATTGGCAGGTAACCTGCAGGTGTTGGTACGCTAGTGACTGGTAGGTAACCTGCAGGTGTTGGTACGCTAGTGATTGGCAGGTAACCTGCAGGTGTTGGTACGCTAGTGATTGGTAGGTAACCTGCAGGTGTTGGTACGCTAGTGATTGGTAGGTAACCTGCAGGTGTTTGGTACGCTAGTATTGGCAGTAACCTGCAGGTGTTGATACGCTAGTGACTGGCAGGTAACCTGCAGGTGTTGGTACGCTAGTGATTGGTAGGTAACCTGCAGGTGTTGGTACGCTAGTGACTGGTAGGTAACCTGCAGGTGTTGGTACGCTAGTGATTGGCAGGTAACCTGCAGGTGTTGGTACGCTAGTGATTGGCAGGTAACCTGCAGGTGTTGGTACGCTAGTGATTGGCAGGTAACCTGCAGGTGTTGGTACTGCACTATTGATGCAGATGTTGGTACGCTAGTGACTGGTAGGTAACCTGCAGGTGTTGGTACGCTAGTGATTGGCAGGTAACCTGCAGGTGTTGGTACGCTAGTGATTGGCAGGTAACCTGCAGGTGTTGGTACGCTAGTGACTGGCAGGTAACCTGCAGGTGTTGGTACGCTAGTGACTGGCAGTAACCTGCAGGTGTTGGTACGCTAGTGACTGGTAGGTAACCTGCAGGTGTTGGTACGCTAGTGACTGGTAGGTAACCTGCAGGTGTTGGTACGCTAGTGATTGGCAGGTAACCTGCAGGTGTTGGTTCGCTAGTGATTGGTAGGTAACCTGCAGGTGTTGGTACGCTAGTGACTGGTAGGTAACCTGCAGGTGTTGGTACGCTAGTGATTGGCAGGTAACCTGCAGGTGTTGGTACGCTAGTGATTGGTAGGTAACCTGCAGGTGTTGGTTACGCTAGTGATGGCAGGTAACCTGCAGGTGTTGGTACGCTAGTGATTGGTAGGTAACCTGCAGGTGTTGGTACGCTAGTGACTGGTAGGTAACCTGCAGGTGTTGGTACGCTAGTGACTGGCAGGTAATCTGCAGGTGTTGGTACGCTAGTGATTGGCAGGTAACCTGCAGGTGTTGGTACGCTAGTGACTGGCAGGTAACCTGCAGGTGTTGGTACGCTAGTGACTGGTAGATAATCTGCAGGTTTTGGTACGCTAGTGACTGGTAGGTAACCTGCAGGTGTTGGTACGCTAGTGACTGGCAGGTAACCTGCAAGTGTTGGTACGCTAGTGACTGGTAGGTAACCTGCAGGTGTTGGTACGCTAGTGATTGGCAGGTAACCTGCAAGTGTTGGTACGCTAGTGACTGGCAGGTAACCTGCAAGTGTTGGTACGCTAGTGACTGGTAGGTAACCTGCAGGTGTTGGTACGCTAGTGACTGGTAGGTAACCTGCAGGTGTTGGTACGCTAGTGACTGGCAGGTAACGTACAGGTGTTGGTACGCTAGTGACTGGTAGGTAACGTACAGGTGTTGGTACGCTAGTGACTGGTAGGTAACCTGCAGGTGTTGGTACGCTAGTGACTGGTAGGTAACCTGCAGGTGTTGGTACGCTAGTGACTGGCAGGTAACGTACAGGTGTTGGTATGAGAATGAGAGGTAATATAAGTGTTGGGACGCAGTAACAGTTTATCAGGCGTTCCACTGAGTGACAAGTCAGGTGTTGATATGCTGGTGAGTAACGGGTAACATGTTACATGTATACGAATGGTATATAATTAGACGTGTGCCATATCTAAGCATTTTTATTTATAGACGTTTCGCCAACCAGTGGCTTTATCTATACAAGGACATAATCCGAAGAATGTAGAACTATATACAAAAGATGAAGTGATCAGTTGGTAAAGCCACTGGAATTCGAAACGTGTACAAATAAAGATACACACATGTTTCATGTGTCTAATTCTTCAGCTTCTCAGATGTTGAGGTGTAACGTAACTTATTAAACGTTATGAGTGTTGATACGCTAGTCAGTGAAAGGTAACGGATCAGGTGTTAGAATGAGTGGCAGGTAACATTACTCACTCTGACCTCCCTCCCTGGGGGTGCCTCCACAGGTACAGTACGCCACCATCAGCACTGTCCACGCCTTCAGCTTCGGGAACTCCTCTTCCCTGTCCAAGGTGTCTCTGTCCAGGAACTCCATCTTCACGCTAGCCCGCAACGCCTTCACGCACCTGTCTTCCCTGGACACGCTCTCCCTGGGGGAGAATCACATCACCGAGGTCAACCGCCACGTTTTCGTGGACCTGCCGAAGCTCACTAAGCTCTACATCGACCGCAACAACATCACCACCGTCCACGAGCGAGCCTTCCAGGGCTTACACAGCCTCATCGAGCTTGAGCTCTTTTCCAACCAGATTCAGGTGAGGAAAAGGAGTAAATTTGCTTCCATCCAGAGAGATTTTTACGACGGTGAGTTGACTTTGACTCTCACGGTACTCTTAACACCCTAATGTTGTAAGTAAAAAGCACTTACACACCGATCCAAGATATGAATAAGGAAATTTTTTACCCCGAGTGTCCCCTTCAGTTCTCTAATAAGTCACTAGTGGCAAAGCTTTTACTTGTTAAGTGTCCTTAAAACGTGTCTAGCTTGTAACTTGTTGGTATTACCGTACCAGTTCCCTCCGTATTGTTATAGCTGGATAATTTTCTAGTCTTAGAGGCCGTATTTTCATTTCACCTTTCAAACTTTTTCTTTGTTACAGGTGATCACTCCTGATACTTTTAAGGGCCTACGGTCACTGGAACGCCTCGACCTTCACAAGAATCGCATTGAAGTTATCGGTGACAAGACCTTCCGAGACCTGCAAGCGTTACGGGTTCTGGACCTGCAGGAGAACTCTCTAAAGTACATTGCTCCTAAGGGCTTCCTTGGACTTGACCAGCTGCAGCAGCTCAACCTCCAGGTGACACACACACACACACACACACACACACACACACACACACATACACACACACACACACACACACACACACACACACACACACACACACACACACACACACACACACACACAACACACACACACACATCACACACACACACACACACACACACACAACAATATATATATATATATATATATATATATATATAATATATATATATATTGTCTTTAAATAAAATATACATACATAATATAGGGGGTGGTAGGAGAAAATTCTCAAACAGCTTCAGGGAGAATCTTGAGTTTTCCCTGAAGCAAGTTTATTCTTTTCTCTGAGGATGAGGGTCCCCATGACAGTTCTAGAGGTGGTACCTCCCTATATTGTTTCAATATATATATTATATATATATATATATATATATATATATATATATATATACATATATATATATTCCTTATATGAAATTGCTTTGTAGACTTAGCTAATACTTAAGCTTCAGGACCAAATGTAAATACATTTCATAAGTAACAAACCAGTTGTGCATAGTATAATTATCAGGGTACAAAAATGGCTTGCCAATAGCTTCTAGCAAAACTCAAAAATTATATGAAAAATCCGAGACTCTCCAGTTAATTTTGTATTACAAGTGATCGCATAGTTTTTGTACGACACGAAGTAATTTGTTTTCCATTTGTGTGACAGGACAACAAGCTGCTGTCGCTGGGTCCAGAGGTTTTCAAAATGGCTTCAAAAATCCACCACCTGGATATTCGCGCGAATGTGTTGGAGACCCTCACTCTTGAGAGCGTCCAGCCCCTCATGGACAACCTTAACAACGACACCATGCTGTTCTTCATCGAAGGTAAGTACACAAACACTTCCAAACCTTATGAACAGCCTCAACAACGACACCATGCTGTTCTTCATCGAAGGTAAGTACACAAACACTTCCAAACCTTATGAACAGCCTCAACAACGACACCAGGCTGTTCTTCATCGAAGGTAAGTACACAAACACTTCCAAACCTCATGACAGCCTCAACAACGACACAGGCTGTTCTTCATCGAAGGTAAGTACACAAACACTTCCAAACCTCATGAACAGCCTCAACAACGACACCAGGCTGTTCTTCCCCACCTCATAAACATGAACCCCAATACAATTTTATCCAAGGCGAGTAAATTGTCTCACTCATTATCTATCCATAGTCTGGTACGGTGACATAATAGCGATAAGCCTATGGAGGCCTACCATGGCTACCACAAGATTGAAGTATGAAAAAGATCAAACCGATTGTGAATATGATAATGGTATACAATACCGACAAGTTGACGAAGTAGATGCGCAACAGCAGATGCTGTAGAGATGTAGAGACCATGTAATCAATCCATTACCCTTCAAGATGTACTTTTGAGGATGTAATCAGTCCATCAACCTTGAAGAAACTACTTCCTCAAGGGTGATGGACTGATGACATCGTCTCTACATGTCTACTGCTTCTGTTTCCTTCTCTGTACTCGACTGAAGAACCCTACTGTGTAGACGAAACATTTCGGAATAAAGATACGTAAGTGATACACATGTATCTTAATTATCAAACCGTTTCTGCATTACGTATAATTGTTTAAATATATAATATATATATATATATATATATATATATATATATATATATATATTATATATATATATATATATATATATATTATATATATATATATATATATATATATATATATATATATATATATATATATCATGCCGAATAAGCCAGGTCGGCGAGTCTTTTCTACCGAATAAGCAGAGTTATAAAAAAAAATTATAAATCGGCAAAAATCAAATTGAACATAAATTTTAGCTAATTCTAGCCAGCTGATAGCAGAATTGTGCAAATTTTATGCTAGGGGTATCTGTAAGCATGGAATATCTGCGAAAACAAACGGGATGTGCAACTTTGAACGCCCCTCTAAAAACGCCTCGACCTCCTGTCCACAGGAGTGTGTCGGTCTGTCTCCTATAAATTTTTTCATCCGCAAATGTGCCATTCATTATTTCTCTGAAATAATGCTACATTGCACATTGGTTACATACAATTTGAAAGGTACCAGGAGGTACACACCCCACAAATCTTGGGAAATTAACCGTATTAGTTGCAACCTTTCCAGTCCTGGTCAAGACATTGGTCACGGGGGACGTTGACTCTCGGCAGCACCTCCAACTGCGTTGGTAGATATGCCTATACACTCTGCCCCAGGCTCAGACTTGTGAAACTCAGTCTTCATCAAGAACTGCAAGAAACCCCTTTCGCGTGTCTTAACTATGCTATGGAGAGGGAGCCTGGACACGGGTGTCATCCTGCAATCGCTAAAAACAACGGATATAGCCACAGTCCATAAAGGTGGCAGTGAAGCTCTAGTGCTCCACATAAAAATCTTCGAAAGAGTTCTAAGGAGCATGATCGCCAACCACTTGGATTCCAAACAATTGTACAACTCTGGGCCACATGGGTATAGAAGAGGTCGCTCCTGCCGCCACAACTACTAAACCACTTTATGGTCTTGGATACACTGGAGGACAATAGAATGCAGATGCAGTATACACAGACTTTCTAAAAGCCTTCGCCAAGTGCGATCATGGTGTAATAGCACACAAAATGTGTCCTAAACGAATAAATGAAAAAGGGGGATAGATGTATCTTTAACTTTCTAGCCAATAGAACACAGAGTAATGGTAAACAGTTAAGTCTGAGGCTGCCACAATGAAATCTCTGTTCCACAAGGCACAGTAATGTAGTGTTTTTTTTTAGGCACCCTGCC